TAAAAAACTTAAAGTGTATTTGTTCTCCAGAGTATGTTTTCTATCTGTGCTAAATTTCATCAAGATCTGTTACGATGTAACAATCATCTATCCAACCAACATTCGCATTTATAATAGGATGTTTAACAATTTATGATATTGGTGTATTCTAACAATCACTATATATTACTAGCAGTTGTTTATGACTTCGTTCATGTAGAATTAAAAAAAAAAAAAAAACAGAAGAAACAAGCCCGGTAATTTTTGATTTTTTCAAAAATACAAAAATCCAACAATACAAAGCTTTCCTCTTTATAATATTAGATTATACTTACAACTCCTCGTACTCCTCCTCCTCCCCCTCGTCGAACAACGAGTTGAAGTCCGACTCGTCATGGCTGTTACTTCCTCTGCAACAAACCTCCACATTAATGTTACACTTTATGTCACTTTCAAAGCACTACGTAACAAGATAATCGTGTACATTAGGGCGCAGTTTCATGGTCGTTAGCGTTTATAACTTTATGTCACTGATTGTTCCGAGTATTTTCATAACACTTGTGTAGACTGATGATTTTATTAGTCGTTAGCCCGCACGCGTGTTTTCGACTAATGAAACTATGCTCTTATATCAACAACACTATATAAATATTCAGTTATGTTATTTACGTTTGTCTACATAAAATGTTTATGTACGAGATATTATACAATCTTACGGTTAGTATACTAAATGGAGGGCCAACTTTAGTACTTTTTTCTTCCCACCCATTCTCTTATAAGAAAAAGATGGGAAGGGAACATGTATTTGACGGCGGAGTAGACGCATAGGAAGGGAGAACATCCTCTTATGTGCGTCTCCTCCGTCGATTAAGGGTAGGTAACGCATTCGCTATTAAGAATTTCTATGGGCAGTGGTCTCTTCGCCAGTTTGACGGATTCACGTAGCCGTTTGCTCGTTTGCCTCTTTGATATAAAAAAAACTGATAAAAAACTACGTATACAATAAATTGTTTACGAAATACCGGTTTGTAAATAAAGTGCTACGAAAAAAATAAAAAATGTAAGAAAAGCATACCGGTCGTTATCGGAGTTAGGATGATGTGCTTGTGCCGCCTCGTCTTCTGTAAACAATACAGCTTCATATTACTTGATCTTTTCACGTAAATAAAGATAATGAATATTACTGATGGAGTATACAGTCGGTAACAAAGTTCTGTTATGAGTAAATGTTTAGTCGAGCTAAGACAATTGTATTTATGAAGCTGTATTATTCACTATAACTACAGGCATGTTGCCAACAGATACCTTCTCTCGACTTGAGCAGGTCCAATCTCTTCTTCTTCATCTCCGCGCTCAGGTTCTCCACCATCTTCTCTATAAACGAGTCCAGCACTAAACTCTTGCACTCCGACGTTATTGGTTTCCTGAAAATGTTACATTTGTTATGCCGAAAACAACCAAAAGTACAATCAGGGAATCTGGTGGTATTTCACCTCAAAAATACATTCATTAGGACATTTTGGATAATTAATTTTTATTAGTAGTTATTAGTTTTTATATTTTTATTAGTTTAGTTAGTTATAAGACTTGTTATGAGCGTCACCAGTCGATGATTAAGACTATGCCATGACTATGACTTAGACTATGATGATGAAGAGCTATCTTGAGGGCAACTAACATGAATATGGTGTAATTAGAAGTAATTTTTATGTCTATTTTACTTTTGTTGATTCTCTAGGGTGGTAGGCCCCCCTCTTTAACGCGTGTGGTAGTATGTTCTCAAATACAATGTTTACTGTTTTTTTTTCTTAATAATTCATGTTTCTAACTCACCTACAAATGGGGCACTCCCATTTCTTCTTCTTCCACATAGTGATGCAGTATTTGCAGAATGTGTGCGCGCAGTTGAGCGTGGTGGCGCACACGAACAACTCCGCACAGATGCTGCACTGCAGCTCATTCTCCATTATATCCGCGAACTCCGCCACCGCACTCTCCTTTGCTGTAATCTCACCATTTTCGTTCTCCGCTTTCAGCATCTCCTTTTCATTCTCCACTGATCTTAGTTGACTCTTAACCTAAAAATTGTACATATAAACTTATTTACAATGCTATTGGTTACAATAATCTAATGTTTACAAAATGTTATTGCTAATCAATTATAAAAATACGTTACAATCAACCACATTTGACTTTAAAAAATGTACAGTATTACTTTAGTATAATTATACATTTTACTGCAACAATAAAAATTAGGAAAATAATTAGAAAATTAATATTTAAAAAGTTAACCTTATCTAATTGTTCGAGAAGAGAATTGATAACTTCAGTGGACTGTTCGGAATGTTTCTGTATCCTCTCTGCAGCCAGCGCGGCCAGTTCCGTCTCTCTGTCTTCTACTCGAGTCTGAAAATATATAAAAAACATTACTAAGCTCGCAAATGCCTACCTTCGTCACAAAACATATATCATATGACCACCATATTATGACCTTGTCTCTTGCCTATTTATAAACATATAAATGGTAGTGACACATAATAAAATGTACCTTTAATTCTACAATAGATTTGTTCGCATTGACTTTGGCTTCAAATAACTTCTTCTGTAATTCCTCTCTTTCATGTATCTGAAACAAAGCAGTATTACCACAATATTTCTAAAAAAATATCAGATTTTTCATTGATCTTAAAAATAATCTTACAAGTTCTTCCATTTTAACTTTTTCCTCTTCGCTGACTTTTTTCAATTCCTCAACTTTTTTAGTTAACTCTTTCTCAACTTCAAATTTATGTTGTTCTGTCTCCTTTTCTTTTGATTCCAGTTTACTTTTTAAAACCTTCAAATCTTGTAACAATTCAGTTTCCCTCAACTTTTTTTGCTCTTCCAGTGCCTTTATTTCCTACAAAAATCATAGAATAACCAATGTAATTAAAAATACCATAGAAAAGACTTTATGGTATACAATGAATGGTTATACATTGAAACCTAGTAATCGTAAAAAAAAGTCCAGGTCATATTTAATGCTAAAATTCATAAATATTTGCAGAAATCAAACATTTCTCTATAGAAGTGTGTCAATATTACACTTTACTTACTATTACATATTTCATAAATTCCATAAAACACTTTCTGATGTAAAGTGTAAAAAGATCATAATAAAACTGGATATGAACAAATTACCTTTTCGTTAGCTAATTTCAGAGTTTCCGTTTCATTTCGTAACATCTCCTCTAGTTTTCTTTTCTCTACTTTACGAATTTCTTCTTGCTCCCACATTTTAGCTTCGAGTTTGCTCAATAAATCTTGTTTAGAAGAACTTTCTCTGTTTATTTCACTCAGAAATTCTTCTCTTTCTTTTAAAAGTTTCTGTTTTAGGGAGACATTTTCTAAAATGAGTTCCGATTCTATTGCATTGTGTTTCTCAATTTCTTCCTGTCAAATTTGTTACATAATATGTTAAAACAATTCCCGATGTATTAGACTATTTAAACAATGGATAATGCATTATTTAAAAAATACATTACTTACTAAAATAAAAACACAAACTTATGCTTTTTTTAACCTACCTTTAGGCTAGAAATTTTCCCTTCCATTTCCTTTTTTAAAGAAGCAAGTTCTCCATCTCTCTCTTGTATGAGTAGGGCTCTTTGTTCTTCAATTGTAGTTTTGCCATCTTCCAAGCAATCCATTTTTGTAGTATAAAGCTTGTTTAAAATTTGCATTTTTTGCATCATTTCTGTTTGTAAGCGATCCTTTAACAATTGAGAGTTCTTTTGGATATCCTGTGCATTTTGAATTTTTTCAGCAATGTGTTGCATTTCTGAACTTTGTGAGTTTTCAAATTTGATTTTCACATTGTTTATAATATCAGCAGAGTCAACATCATTTTCAAGTTTTATGCGTTTATTGGAAGGTTCACAATCTATGTTTTCATCTTTGATGCTTGTGTTTGGCTTTATGAATGAAAAAACAAATTCCTTTGCTGGGTCCAGAATAATAACGTCGAGATTATTAAGTTTCCTGTACTTGCCATTGCCTAACTTTATACCGTTAAGCTCTATTCCAAAACTACTGTGATCCTCAATAAACCATTCATCAAATGTTTTTCTAATGATGCAGTGATTTCTAGATATTGCTATAACTGGTATAACGACGGAGTTCTTTAATCCTCGTCCTATGGTTAACTAAAAATGAAACATTAAATAAATAATTTTAAATAAAGGAAAAACCTATCAGCTAAAGTAAGACGTAGTTGAGAAACAAAACTCACAATGGTTGAAGTTACTTTAATTTTTTCTAAGGTTTCGTACTCAGGTTTTAACTTTTTGGTAGAAATTAAATATGGTACGTCGTTATCCTGCATGTTTATATCATTTATCTTGTTAATTGATTAACATATTATTTAAAGCTGTTAATCACAGCAAAATAAAATGTACCAATATTTCTTTAAAAATATAACTTTGTTCAATTATAATTCGTTTACACAATATATTCACAGTATTCTAAATTCTATTGCTAACAAAAACTCTCAGACTAAGAATATACTAAGCCTTAGTAAAAACTGGATTGTACGAAACGAAATCGAAATGGCTGAAATTTGACAGATATACACAGAATCACAGAAAAACTATATAACTGACATATGGTGATTTTAGCACAGAATATAAATTGTTGTCTTCACGAAACAGGTATAGATCTACAAGGATTTTATGGGAGTTTTTTGACATTGACGGAAGGGTGCCTGATTGTAGACTTACCAGTAAGCAAAAAATTCCCACCTTCTTTCGGAATTCATATCGTAATGTATTATCATATAGTTTTATTTGCTGATTATAGGGTCCTATGGCCCCACATACATTTTAAAATGGAAACATTCAACCGTGCATTTGCCGCTTCTTTAGATGTCAAAACAGAACGCTTTCAAGACGACAATGTTAGTTCACAAAATTGCCAACAGCCATATGATCCTTCCCTGTTGGTTTATTCTACATTATATATGTAGAATGTGGCGCGCTCATGACTGACTTAATAATGTTTCTGGGCAGAATATTAGACAAAAAGTCATTTTCTTGCAAACAAGTATCTTCAATAAATATGTACGTTAAATGTACCGTAAGAGAAAAATATGAGGATTGATTTTTAATTGCATAACTTAGAAAATTCTTGTACAAAACATATTGCTATGTCTGATTTTTCTGAAGGAATAAAAGGGGTCACCGCTTTTTTAAGTTTGTTTAATATGTTTTTACACAAGTGTTTTGCGGTGGGAACGCTCCTAGATTTTTTCAGTAATCGTTCTTATCTTTAGAAATTCACAAAGGATCTCTCTCTGGTTTTCTTTAACACACTGGTTGTCTATAATTCAGCGGTAAAGAGATGCGGGCGACATCAAGTATGATGAGATAATCATGACTGGTGGAGAAAGTTTGCAATATTGAAAGAATATCTTACGTAGGTATTAACCAATGGAGACAGAGACAAATGTAATTTCAATGACAAAAAAAGAAATGATTTGTTTTTACTCCTTTCTGGTTATTATTGGACTGTATTATTAATATTTGTATAGTATAGGTGTTATAGAGTATAATTTCGTTAAGTGTAAAATAAGCCAGAAAAAAACAAAAACAAAATTTAAAACAGTTTACTTCGTAAAACTCGCCAACAAAAAACTTATTAAGTAAGAAAAGTTAAAATTCAGCTAAACATCATTTTAAAAGCTGTTGTGAAAGAGGGTACGTAAGGAGGATAAAGGGATACCGAAGTGAAAGCATATTTCTTGCCGGATAAAACGAATAGATAGAGGTCTTTAATATAAACGAAGCAGACTTTAGTACTCTCGAAAAATGTAAGGCAGCGGTTAAGTACATAATGAATTTTTAACGCTATGGGTTTTGATGTTTTGGCATGAGACGTCTCTAAAGTTGTTCGACAATTTGCAACTCATTTTTCATGATGAAATGATTCGTTTCTGTGAAGTTGTACCACTTTATGCCTATTATCGAATGGGCCTGCTCCGATAATTTTTTAAAGCCTCATTTTAGTTTCAGTTTTTTTTAGATCCTCAAAAATTATGTTCATTTAATTATTTATGATTCGTTCGTTAATGTTCAAAACTTAATTACACAAACCCATTAACAATTAAAAAAAAATGCTGGTGCCACCTGAATTTACACTTAGATGATGGAATAAGATTGATCGAGTAGTTTTCCCAAATTTTCAGTAAATAAAACATTAATTTATATGACATTTACTTAGAAAAAAAGCATTTCTGTAGCATCAAATCTTATTAAAGTGAAACAAAATTTAAGTATTTCTTCCGGTATTATAACAATTATTTGGTGTGAAACACTTTGGCATGAAAGTCGTAAATTCATTTTCGGAGTCCTTTGAGATTTTGAGGACAACATTTGTATCTTCTTAAATTATGACCGCCTCGGGCATTCTTTTATCCGAATCATTCTAAATTGATTGTTTCTCTAAGCGTTCATTTCGTTACCAGTGACCATGTTAATTTAATATTTGCTATTTCCTTTATACTTCGAGATTAATGGAAAAATATCGTTATTTAAATACATAATATTAAAGTACACATAATTATATAATGAACAACTTTTTTAGTGTGATCATGGATCATGGGCGTAGCCAGGGGGGCAAAAGGGGCAGCTGCATACTACGATTTTGACAAGTTGCAATTTGCATTGCAATAGTAAATAATAGGATACAGTTTTCGGACAAAGGCAGCTCGCGATGAAGAAACAATAGCACTCGACTGAGTGATATAATTTCCCGTAAAATCTTTTTCATTAAACTGATTAAGTGTCGGAGGCGCGATGGGTTTATTGCAAAAGTTGGTCATTCGCTGAGGCCAGTGGCTAAAGCTCCCTCCCTTAACTCGAATAATTGTCTACGTGATCGGAATAAAAGCGCCTGAGATTTATCTGATTTTATTAAAAGGATTTAATAAATTGGATAAATAACTTGAATATCTGTTTGTATTTACTACAGTAAAACCAATACTATTCATTGGGCGATTTTATTTCTGTATAGTATTGTAATTTTGTATTGTATTGCAAATTATCTGCTTACGCAACAAAGAAAGTTTGCTCTCGTATATCTTATTTATATCACAATGCCTTGACATTAATTTTTCTGGGAGTTGTTGATTGTGTTGTGTTTGTATCACTTTAGGTTACTAACGCTTCGTTTGTGCTTTTGTTAAAATTATTAGAATATAATTGTTTCTTTAAGTGTGCAAATAAAATTCTGTGTAACTTCTGAATGAATAAGTAGAGTAATGTCTATCTTGAAGCTTAAAAGTTTTACGACCTATTATAAAAAGGTTTCAATTAAATAAGATTATAAAATATCACAGCTAAAAATTTAAATGATTCTCTGATACTCTAATAACTGTAATCTCAGTGCAATAATAACCTAAGATCGCCTTTTATCATGTGTTTGCGAGACTTTGGGACTGTCAAGTAAAACTTAAAGTATCCTCATTAACTATTAAATTTTCTTTGCAAAATAAGTAATGAAAAAAATACATAAAGTAGGATACACAGAGTTACTACGGGTATGAATGGAACGCGGCAGTTATTGTGTCACATTGACCCATTAATGTGAAGGACACCATGAAAATTAGACGGATACCACGGTAATGTCGACTTCTTCCACTTGTTTGTGTTCGGGTTAAAAAAGTACAAAACTAATCTTAATTATTTCAGATATTTTCGATTTAACGAAAGAAACTTGTCACCTACAAGTGATAGAACCTTACAATGAAATACATTCTCATGTAAAAAATTTTAATGATGTTTACAAGAAAAACATACGAGTATTCTACCCTAATTGGAAGGATGTAAATTTGAGCGTTTAAGCATTCGTTGTAAGCTTTTATCAGCAAGCAAATTTTTTTCGAAACGGAGGTACACGTTTAAATATTGCCGTAGCTTTAATCTACTCTTTATCGCGTCTGCTTTTGTGCTTAGGCTATTTCGAATCCCTTTCAGAATTATTAAACCTTTTAGCTTTTGTGTAGGCGTCGCTAATGACTTTAGATAGTCTGACACATATTAAAAGTTCCTGATTGAGCTTTAAAAGATGATAATCACCATGATTATTTAGAAATATAACGGGAAAAGTAGTACTAAAGGCTACTATAAGTATAATAATATACAAAATACTAGCACGTTTGGAACCATAATAATCGATCTAATGGAAAGTGTACAGTCATTTTTTTTAGAAATAAAAGGCATACATAGCTGTAAAAAGATAATACATATCTGGCATTTAGGGAAAATCGTTAATATTGCAGTGATTTTCAAGATCACATCAATTTATCACGTAATCGAGTGTCGGCGAGTGAGAAATCGATGGTCCGACCGAGGTTAAAGCTGGTCCGGAGCCGTTTCTACGCAGTTCATTTCAATTAACAAGTGTAATTTGTTTTCGAAGTCCTTTGAGATTTTCCACTTGAAATTTATACGTCTGTAACAATTCTAATTTTTAATATTTTCTTTTCTGCTTTATATTGAATGTTTATTCTTATGGATAATTTAATTCTACCAAGGATGGCTTATACTGAAACCATATTTTTCGTTTTGTACAATAAATTTTGTTTAAATCGCGTTCAGGTTATACAGTAAAAAGTTACAGACCACTCCATTAGGTAAAACGGTCGTGAGAGTTTGGGCGTTGTTTGCTACATCTTTTGTTGGAGTGTTTGTTTTTTTGTTTTGTTTCGGTAGCTACATTATTGTGCGGAGCTGGTAAATTCACTATTGTGATGTTAAAGGTTCAAAACGTTTTCAAATTACCGAAACAAAAGAGCGGCGGGCTCTAAGAGGTCGTGATGGGAATAATTAGTCTATTCAATTCATTTCATCGTTATCAGACTGAGTGAATGGGTTCCTCGAGGAGTAGTAATGGTGCCCGCTCAGAGAAATTGCTTTTAGGAAGGAGTGCACTAACTTACGTCAAGATTATTCGAAAACTGCTTGGTCTTTTGGGAAAATTAATTAGTTTCAACGATTGTTACACAGAACGAGCTTAGGATGTTTCAATGAAAGCGGAAGCCGAAGTACGTTTGTAGCTAGAAGACAGGTATAAGTACAGATTCAATATTTGTTATTATTCATAAAATTAGATATTCACTATGTTAGTACCGTCCCAATACTTTTATCCTCATATCTTTCTCTCAAATTAGCAGATTTTAACTCGGTATACTTTAACGTAAAATATAAATCGAGTATTATTTACAGTAACAGTAAAGTTATTACGTAAGTAAGGTCTAAGGTCAGAGTATCATATTATTTTTTATGTTTCGCTGTAAAAAAGCTAAAGCATCTATAATGGAGTGGCAGGCAGCGCGCGAACAAAGTTAGTGCCGTGATTGTAGCCCACTCGGCCGTGAGATGATTTAGCCGTGCGTAACAGTTTTTTTAACGTTCACAAATAACTTTTAGTGGCTGTGACATAGCAGCGGATGTACTTTCTTTTTGTTTTATTTTCTCACAATATTGTTCGTTACTAGCTTTTGTTTTACCGACTGCCATAGGGTGGTTGAGTAACCTTTAAATAATTCTTGATGGGGCAGTT